CTAATTGATTTACGAGCTCAATCAAAAACTCAACAAACTCCGCAAGCCCATACTGATATTTATTTCTAGATTTTACATAGTTTAAGGTTTCTATCAATTTTCTAGCAATAAAGTGTACTGATTTATGCATTTCTGATCATTAAATCGACTTAATATGACTGCCCGTACTTGTAAAACAAACTATTGACACATTTTTAGCTTAAATAGTAAAATCAAGTATTCATAACTAACAGTAGAATTCTTCATAATGAAAATGCTTTGAATATTTGAAATAAATATCTCAAACTGAATCTCACCGTAAATATTTTAAGTCTATTTATCAAAGTTTTCAAACAGCATGTTTTCCATTTTATTTTATTTATTTATTGGACTTTACCATTTATGTTACTGGAAAAAAATTTCACTTCAGTTGCAAATATCTCAGAATTAGTTAGTTGCTGTACAAACGCTCACTGGTAATATCTCATACTGTGAAGTTGAATGATGAAGTCTTAATGCCACAAGAATCATACGTTCCCCCATACTTTGCTGATAAGTGCAACTAGCATGAATCATAGGTTCAGGTTTACTTGCCAACGTTCTCCGATCAAGAGCTTGAACATTTCATATCAAATCTGATTGACTAACAGAACACAAGAATGTTATCAGTAAACTTACTAATGATGAAAAATTTTGTTATTGTGAAACCTGATAAAGGAACAGGAAATGTTGATCAAGAATAACATCTTGACTGATCATCTAAAATTCCAAAAACTGAATGGCCAGAAAAACGTCAGTAATAAAATAGTGAACGAACTGACGAGATCTTTAAAAAGCTCATAGATCAACAGGTATTTCCACCAAGTATATACGAAAAAAATCAAATCGATAGGAACCTATTTGCCAAGGTTATACGGACTACTGTAAGTACGCAAACCGGATATCCCATTGAGATCAATATTGGACATGTACAGTTCCTCTTATCATAATGAGGCGAAACGGTTAGTAGTCATTTTAAAGCTATTCCACAAACACCTAATGAAGCACAGTATTAATAATGTATTCCAGTTCATAGACAAGACCACAAACATAAACACGAACGAACAAACGATGATGTTCTGAGACGCAACATCATTGTTTACAAATGCCCCACTCAGGTAGATGGTAGAATATATATCATTGAACAAGAAATAGACTTAATTCTCTGCTGGAATCATTAAGAAATCATTAAGAAATTGCACTACGAACGCTAACTTCAAATTCAGTAGTGATATATTTAGACAAATAGATGGTGTCGCAAAGGAATCACTACTAGGTTCCACATTTACTGAAATTTTTTTGTCGCTAACCTAGAAAATGATCCACCAACACAGAAGATCGACAAGTTTTCATTTTACTGCCGATTTATGGACGATAAGTCCATCCTTTATAACGGTCATACGGACCTGATAGAAACACTTGAGCGATTTAATGTTACTCTGTCTGTAAAATTCACATATGCGGAAGAAAATACAGACGGAATAGCCATTCAAAATGTTGTACTTACAAGGAGGATTGATGGGTCACTAGGAAGAAGACTATCTGAACTGGCCAATGTATGAATTTTACTAGTTTTTTTCCTCTACAATATAAAAGAGACTTGATTAAGACACTTCATTATGGAATCAAGACCATATGCCCCCTAGATGTGGTTGAAGAGGAAAGGAAGGCATTGTACATGACTCTAAAAGAAAATGGACATTTGGAGAAATTTATGACTAAACATTTAGCTAAGAAAAGAGCATAAGGAGGCCCTAACTGTGAGCAAAACGTCTCTGTATATGCGCTCACAATTTAGAGGCGATGCACCCAGAGAAATGCTAATACTAAAAGTACACGGAGCAATTCAAAGAACTTCTAATCCCGGTAAACTACAACTATTGTTTTCTACACATCCGTTGATCACTCCGAGATTGAAAGACAAATTAACTAAACTAGCCACCTCTTTCTGTATCTGTTTTAGTGGCCCGTATCTGACTCCAAGTAGATCATATGAATGATTGTCATTGAAATATATATGTCGCCTATCCTTGTATATAATAATGGAATTAAATAGCGTTAGTCAATAACGGGATTAAATAAGTCGAATAACGGGAATGGACTTTTTTGTATATGAAGCGAAACGACGCACAGTGGAGATGGCGGGTATGCCAATTCCCTTTAGTAAAGCGTTAAATCAATATTTATAGTCACACAAAAATAAGTTACAGACATGTGATGAATAGTATAAGAATTGTACACACACATACACTCATACAAAAACAGTCAAGTTTGATAAGCGAATAATTAACAAGGTCAACATATGACTCAAGTAGAATTAATAGATTGGCCTGTTCGAAAGCTACAATAAGGTTTATGGGCTTAACATAATAACCGACATTACACTGTCAATTCAAATGTTCTTTCGAAGCCGGTTGTGTTGGTAGCTGTTCTTGGACTTTGTATTTTCGGGCTCTAAAGTACCTCTCAATGTGGTGATGCAAAACTGTTAACTCATCGATTTTGGCTTATTGAGTACAAACGAGCCACACAGTCAATATGGGGCAATCATTCAAAATAATATATCGGGTTAACAGCAATCCGCCTATATCCTTCAGACTGAGAATTCTTTAGATGGTTGGAGCAATAGATATTCGGATCAAAAAGCTGGAGCTTTGCATCCAGAGGAAATATGTTCAGCCACTCTTTTTACCTTAGTCAACGTTTGGCCTTATTAGTAGATAATCATTTTTATGATATGGTGACGTAATTTGATTAATGTTCATTTTCATAGATTAAACTTATCCACATATCGTTATTATTATTAATATAAAACCTGCCAACGTTTTTGAGAAATGTATTCAGCATCCATCACTATTTACTATTCCGTACCCAACTCGTTTTATTCTACATATTACGTGATTTCTGATTTTTAAGTACATTATTCTCTTTCTCAACCATATTGACCATATTTATTCTAATCATCATTTATCTCACAATTTCATGTAGCGTATCAGCTTATTCAAGTTAACACTTCATATTAGCCACCCAAACATTAACGACTTTATTTTATATGACAAAAAAACCTTGATTAACATGTTACAATTTTAAATGATGGGCTTTATCTTAAACCTGGCCACTTTTCAGATTATCAATTTAAATACATAAGTGTAGAAACTGAAGAGAATTTATTTAGGAAAATATTCTTCGTTCATGTATCTGTGTTTTAATATGATTAAGATTTTCTAATGAATATAAGGCCATCCTCTAATTACTGTAAAATGGAAATCATGCGTTACACTAAACAGTTCATCAGTATCTATGTCAGCAATACTTTTAATTGTCAACTTCAATAAAAAGTCCATTAGTAAATTGAATTCCTGTCAAAATACTTTTAATTATCAATTTCGTATTTAAATGAATTATATATAGTTAAGAGTAAATCGATGCAAAGTCACTATTAAATAAGGTTTTCTAATGAGTAATATACAGAGAAATTATTAAATTAATTTTAGTGTAAAACAATTTATTGAATAAAATTTATTATAAATACCTTAATACTCAAACTGAAGAATGAAATGAGAATAGTTCATTTACATTTTCTGATAATCTTACTATCGGTAAAAACCTTAAAGAATAACATCTTTTGTTTCATCATTAGTTACCAAGTTTGATTTGATAACGATTTTTACACTTCTAACAGTATGACAATCGATATACAGATGTGAGGTAGAAAAAGGTTAGTAACTGACTTGCTAACTATTATTTCTTCAGTTTCTTATTTTTAAAACTGGGATTCAGTTGAATATCTTATCGAAGACAGCTTGACTGAATATCTGAGATACCTGTTCTTACCATCTAGATATTTCAACAAGTTATCTGTATTTTGTTTGTTTCAACAGATCATTATGTCATCTAATCGCACAACCTATTTAGATGCGTTTGTGAAAAGTTCATGACTATTCGCTGTACAAGTTAGGAAAGAGCACGAGATAGTAGTTGCTGGCAATATACATTTAAAAGAATGTACATTATTTTGATGTCGATCTACTGGATTGCTAACATTTAACTGGCAATCACACAATATTTATCGTCAGGATCAATCAAGAAATAAGAAACAGAAACTTGTTGAAATACTTTGCGCTTAGGATTCTATATTATGCCCAAAATATAATATTAAATAAAGCCACTAATAATAATAATAAATTACAAAATGTTTTTTGATTGAGATCATGAGCCGATTGATGTTAGATCACCACTGAAAACCTGGAAGCACTGGACGGCCGTTTCGTCCTACTGGACCACTGAGCCGGCATCCAATGATGATAGTGTCTAGCATCAAACAATCCACGAAATTGCGCGATCGTCTTCCATTGTACTGAGGTAGATACCTGTCTCTACCCAACATGGTCACGGCTTCTCACTGGAACTCCGAGAATTTCCTCACGAAGCCAAGTTTCAGTAATCATAATAATGAATGAGGAAATTAACAATGTTTTCTTCATTACCAAACAGGTTTTCAATATCTAAATTTTAACGTATTTCTTTCTTTTTTTCCTTCTTAGTGAATTCCTTTATCCAAATATACTTGTTGTCTATGAAATTATTCAACAAGGAATAAATTTCATATTTTTATAAAAGAGAATTATTAAAATTTCTGATTGGTTAACATTCAATGTTAACCAATCAGAAAATGTTTCATAAATAAACATATACTATTGACTAATTTATTATTTACTTAATATTAAATTCATTATAGTAAATACCTAAATAAAATTATTATTTATTTCAAAAAAAAACGAAAAAATCTATTTGGTTCCCTTGAATTCTGTCAAAATTCATATGATTTGGAATGAATTTTCGTATTATCATAAACTTCATATATTCATGGAAATTGTTTTGTATTATATTCTAATTTTGTATTATGGATAATGAGTCAGTCTAGATTTTCTGTTCATTTTATTGTAGTATTAATCATGTTGTTCTCATATCAGCAAAGAATTATGACTGAATTTTTGTTTAGAACACCTGGTAGTTATGCAATTCTACCAGAATTGAAACCATGCCCTTCAGGTGGATTATACTTTAGATTTCTCACTGCAACTTCAACAGGTTTGTTGCTATATACAGAAAATAATATTACTGGACAATTTTTTGCACTCACATTGTTACCGAATAGTAGAATAAAATTGGAATTGGAATTACGTTCACCTCAATATCGTATAACAAGATCACATACAACTATTACGTTAGATTATTCAGAAAAGAGTAAGATTGATACATATTTAAGTGAGTTTGATTCACGTATATCTCATAAAGCAGGTAGCATTTTTTCTAGTCGTTGGAATACTGTGGAAATTACTTTCGAATCACAGACAAACCACACGATTGATGGAGTAAAATTAAAAATTAATGAATATCACACTCAAATGAAAATTTTTCCACCAGTAGATTTTTCTCCGTCAAAGATTTATTTGACATCAAAATACCTTTTACTAGGTCCTTATGTGTATATGGGACAACTTTCAGATGAAATGCGTTCAGATGCAACTCAGCGTGCATTATTCAGTGCTGCAATGCAACCGAGTTTTCAAGGTATAGTAAAGGATATTTATGTTATTCAATGCACTACTTCATATCATTCCAAAATCCAAATAGAAATGAATTCTTCAAAACAATGCATACCATATGAACCAATTATTCTGGAAAACGGTGCATTAAAAATTCACTCTTATTCTAGTTCTTTAAATAAATTATCACACTTCTGTTCACCTCGAAATAATCCTCCAAATATAACTCATGGATTAATAAATGGCCTGAGTTATTTCAATTTATTTCAAAAGCAAACACCATTTGTACGATGTGAAAGTAAGTACTATCACTATTTATGAATATTTCGTTTTACATAATTAAACAATTATTAACCGGATCTAAACTAATGAACTGACCTATATTATGATCTCATTGAGAATACTACTGAAAAATAGACACGAAATTTTATGTAACAGTATTTTTTTCTTAGTTCATTTACTTAAGGAAATTTAACTCCATTATATGACAATAAAATACCTTATATCTTTCTTTGACGAATTTTCGCTATACAATACTTGTTATACAAATAGAATATAATGTAGCTAATGATTGTTTACTTCTTAGCTTTATATACAAATGGAATAAATTCCCGTTAGTATAATAATCACCATCACTATAAGATATTCAAAAGTTCGTACAAAGTCTAGTAGGTAAGTTTATTGCAAGCCTTTAGACAAAACAACACAATCAGATTAGTAGAAAAAACGATTTGATTATCTTGACTTCTAAAGTTTTCTATGCTAAAATACTATCCAAATTTTTCTATAGTTCATGACAGTGGATAACTTTAAAATTCTATCCCAGCTAAAAGTAATCACAAAATAAATCATGTTTTCAACATATGACTTCATACTGGAAAAATTCAACATGGCATAATTCAAGTTAGATAGGAATTTATCAATTAGGTAGGCACTATATTTTAATTATCCCAATATATCATCTTCAAACAAAAAATAAACCACAGAATAAGTTATGTAGGTGTAAATTTAGAACTATAATTAACATTCATTGTAAAGAATTAATTGAAATGTAAGTTGGTTTCATGACAAAATATTTAACTGGATTTCACTTATATCATTTCACTTTCATTATAACCGTCAATCATTTAATTTAGAATTTTGAAAAATCGAGTATAGTATGTATGAAAGGTAATCATTTTTCATTTATGAAATGATAATATCCAAACAAGTTTATGACTTTTAGTTGTATCTCATTTGTTTCAAAATCAGTTAAACAGAATAGCGATTGTTGTAGTTATGTAGTGAACAGAGCATGGGTGGGGGAAATCGAATGCATTTAACACAAAATTACAGGACTTGTTAATAAAATCTAACAATCATAAAGTAAATGCTTAATTTGCAAAATGTCCACCAATTGTCTCATAATGACTCAGACTTCATTGTTCTTGCATTTTCATACAAATTACATTCTGTTTCGATTCTTTACTGTTCGATCCTCTTGTCTCTCTGCTGCCAGACCTTCTGTCCACGACTAACTTCATATACTACTTATGTCAATATAAGTCGCACACACCAAGGTTAATTTAATTATTAATTTATTTTGAATATATTGTATTTTACTAACGTTTACGAATACAATATATGGAAACGATATGTAGTCCAGACGGTTTCTTTTATAGTGTTCCATAACCTGTTATGGATGACGCGATTGCTTATGTTTCGTTATTTTTCTGGATAACATAAACAATGGCTAATTGAAGCAGCCCACCCGTATTCAAATAATGCTTTTGTCAATACGTTTTATTTTTGTTCAAAACATTATATCAGTCAAGCGGAACGAAATGAATCAAAACAGTCCAGGTAATCGGTTAGTCTTACCTAAAGACAAAGAAAGATCAATTAATTTAGTTTAATTAATTGCCTTTTATTAACTGATTATAAGCAAACTAGTTGATTAAATGAAAGTAACTTCTCTACTTGAATTTATGTATAGTATTTTCATTTCATTTCGACATGAATGTTTTGTTGCCCACGTAGTCTACATAAAATGTAATTTTGTCATGATGCGATCAATATTCCTTTCCGGTCCCATTCAAAACTAAAAATTGTATAAATGTATCAACAACAAACAGTTACATAAAATATGAATTGCATAATTCCATATCATGATGTTATTATTCCCATGATAATTTGTAATAACACATGATTGTATATAACTTTAATATATAGATATATTACGAATATATTGTCAGAATTTGATAATGTTACCCTTTTCCAGATAGAAAAACAAAACAAAAAAAACATAAGTATCCAGTATTATTTGCTTGTTAACCTTTGCATTACATATGATGCCAAAAAAAATAATTCCACTTTTTTTCAATGATTTACATTAGAAATTCAATGAGATATTACTTTTATAATTTAACTTGATATATACATATAATCAAAGTAGTCTGCTTCAAAATATATAAATTTATAGGATTGTCTATTGTAAGAGAATACAATTATTACTTTCCTTAAATCTTTCTTAAGAAGGTTGTGTGTTTTTTGTATGGATAAATACAAGTGAACAAAAATTTTAGGATGTAATCATTATCAGTAATAATAATAATAATAATAATAATAATAATAATAATAAAAACTTCAATAAACTAAGAAACAACGAAAATAAAGTTAACCTTTTAATAAAAGGGTGGAGATAGCAAAAGCACCATATGATTATATGTTAAATCTATATGTATCTATATATAATGGTATGAAATATTCATTTCTTTTTTATCTCTTTTTTATTATTCTTTGTGGTTTCTTACAAGTGAAAATGGTTCTTGCACTTTATTAAGTGCACTGGGTACGTATCTATCTATCCATATATATAAGCCCTGTATATAAACTTTAGGATATATTTCAATAGATTATGTACCTATTGATTTTTCGCATATAAAAATACTGATTTATCTTTCAGTTACATAAACAAATTACCTAATCTATTTCAATTTCGAGACTATCCCAGTTAAACTTCAGAAATCATTGTACATATTTTCATTTATTTATTTATTTGATAATTAAAATGATTTTAATTATTTTCATTTTAATTATTGATCTAAATTATTATTATTGTTTTGGTAAAATAGTGATTTTTGATGACTTTGCAATATTAAACTAACACATAAGATGATAGTCAGCGGCCTATGTTCCATTGAGAGTAACTGGCGTAAGTAAGTAAGTAAGTAACATGGGATGATGAAAATGTATTATGGGCGAGACTATAATTTATGGACAAACCAATCAGATTTACGATAACAGGTCTTGTATTTTGACGTGAAATTCATTCACCCATTTGGCTAAGTGGAATCCTAGTATTATAGCTGATGTCATTTCGTGATGAAAACCTTAAATCTAATTCCTAACCCTAACCATCAACTGTAAATCATAATCCTTATTCTTCAAACTGCTTTATAACCCTCACTCAGCCCTAGTAAGTAGGTAGACATTCTCAAGGTCACTTTAGCGTTGCTCAAAAGTCGTCCACAAATTATAGTCTCACCGTATTATGTAATGTAGTATATGGTGAATGTTTCATACTATACCTAAAGATTTGGAAAAGTAGTTTAGTAGTTAAGATGTTCAACTTTTAGCCATTAAAACCTTAGTTCCAACCCTACTTTACCCACTTTGATTTAAGCTACTTGGTAGTATTATCAGCCCTTGATTATACACAACTATTTGGTAAATGAGTTCATTTAAAATATTTTTATAATTTTTTGTATTTATATGCATCATATTTATGAATTTTAAACAATAGAATATTTTAAACTCACACCTAATTATAGAATCCGTCAATATATATTTTCTCGACACAAACAATCTATTACGTTCTAAGAATCAGACATTGATTATATATTCACTTATGCTTAATTGTTGATTTAATACCTTTCATTTGTGTCATACTTGTATAACGAAATGTGAAAACATGAAGCATTTTATTAACTGTCATAACCTAAATTACTGAATTAGATGTTGTTTAGAGTAAATATATATCCCATGAGGATCAAATGATCCATCTTATATATATTTCATTAAAGCAAGAAAAGCATTCATAGTCAAACAATACGATGTTAATCTACTTCAAAGATTCTCTTCAGCTGCTTTTTTTTAAAAAATTGATTATTTAAAGGTTGAGATGTGAATTTCTTTTTTTTTCTTTAAATCGTTTATAGATTAAATAAGTGAATAGTTTAAAGAATAAAACGGAGAAGGAAAAAATTGGAAGATTAGTATTCTAGGTAAAAGTGTACAGAAAAAAGAGAGAAAATTTATTTGTTAAGCAAAGGCTTTTTAGAAATAACAATAAATTCGATGATTTAATATAATTAACTTATACAATTGATGTCATCAATGTAAATAATGATTGAAATTAGTTTTCTATTTTGAGTCCATATTTTTTATGAGTAATATCTAGCTATAATAATAAGTTTGTTTAATCATTGTTTTGTAATCTTGAAATATCTACATTTGATTCCGTTAGCAGAACATAGATTGGATTAAATCATGCTCAATGCACACTTGCGTTGGTGCACGCTGATTGGATAATAATTAGCCAATCAGCGTTAGCCAATATTTTGTGAACACTAAAAATCTCATGTGAAAAACCATAAATATACTAACGTTTTTCCTATTGTGCTTCTTACTTCCATCTAACCTTGTTATTTGGAATATAATCCCTTTTCTATACAACCGTGTTCTGATTTGGGGGACTTGTCGAGTGAATCGGTGTCCAAGAATTCTAAGCACTAGGAATAGCTGGGTTATAACTGTAAGAGGGAATCATAACAGATTCATTGCTTATATGCCACTTATTGAATAAAATATCATTGAAGTTCATGAACAGAGTTTTATAAATCTTGTAATTAAATAAACTGGAATCATCTGATCTCTTGTGAGAAAATGAGTAACTTTAAGTTAAGAGAAATTCCATACTGTAATTCACAGATACGATTTGAAACTAATATTGAGATAGAATTCCATATTGTTTTATGAGAATACAAAATAATCAGTAGGAATGATTCCTAATTTCAATGTATTATTTATCAACTTCTTTTTTTAAACTAATACTTAAAGTTGATTCGTTCGATCATACTGGAAAAAAAATCAATCTGTCGTATAAGTCAGAGCTGAATTGGATTTTCACTAAGATATTTATTTAATTACAGTAGTAAAATCACATAGTTTCCGTTAAGTCGAGCATATCTGATCAGTGAAGTTTGATTAACGTGAAATATTAGAAATTGCTAATTGGCCATTTACAAATCCTTGATTATCTATTGAATCCAGTCATTCAG